AAGAGATTTGAATAATTATTAGCAATCAAAAGCATTCTGTTGGTGTTAAATATTTAATACCTACCAAGACAGGGCAGTATTAAACTTGTATTAGAAATATGAATTTCAATTTTTAATTTTTTGGCATATATTTTAGAGACATTTAATTTCATAAAATAGGTGAATTTAAAAAAGAAGTAATACTTAAAATATTTTAATCAAAATAAAATTCATGGATATTATTTTTGCTTTCACTCCAAAGATGTAACGGATAAGCCTGAATATTTTTGTGTACTTTAGTTTATTTTTTGTTTGATTACATTATGAAAAATAATCTGAATGTTAATAAATCTGGCACATCTTTGCTTGTAGAGGAAAAAGACCACCCATTTTCTGAAACAAATTTCCTGGTTTTCCAGAGCATTTAAAAAAATGTTTTCCTGACAAGATTTCTGGAAGATTTCACACTATTTAAAGAAAACATTAAAGTAAACCTGTTTTGTCAGCTCTCTCATTACAATATGAAGAAATACACATTGAAACAACGTACAAATTAAGCAAAAAATAATAATGTACTATTTTTTCTTAAAAATAATATCTAGGTTTAAAACCACCTCAAAATTTTTCCTGACTTCACGATTTTCCCAGGTTTTCCAGCCCAGGTGGCCACCCTGAGAAGACCATCATCAACTCATAGGAGACTTTCTAAACCTCAACAAAGCATGACATTTTCACTATAGTAATAATTCTCATAAAATATGCTTGGAGATGTTCTTTCTTACAATCATATGGGCTGAAACAGAGGACACAGTCAACTTAAGGAAATTGTTGAAACACAGGGATAAAAAATTAAAAATACCTTAAAACACTACCCACTGAATGAATGGATTCAGAGAAACGTCTGGTAAAGTCAAGTGATACTACTTTACTTAATATACACCCTGGAATTAGTGCGAATTCTATTAGCACACACATTTCTGTATTAAGTACACCCGAAAAAGTGCAGCATTTCCTGTCACCAAAAGCAATGAAATCTACACACTTCCACTAATTATGTCACATCCTCCTCAATATCCTCATGCTACAATTCGCTAATTCCCTTCCTCAATTATCCTAATTACCTTGTGCCTGGGAAGAAAATCAACTTATTTTTTCTATCTGAAAGGAAGGTAAATAACTCACTGTGAAACTCCAATCTTGCTCTTCTACATAATCGTCAGGTTCCTCTTTTACCTAAGTACAAGAGAGACTTATAGAAAACATGCACCATACCCACTTGAAATTCACACAGAATCTACACTCTTTAACATAATTTTAATTAACAAGCATAAGATCATCACATAACTAAAGGCAGAACATCTCCTTATTTCGTTTACATTGGCAGGTCTTCACAATTAAAAGTAATTTTACTCTTTTCTTCTTGATTTTTTAAAAGTAGACAATGGTCCAAGCTTTTATATTTGCTACAAACCATTGTTTTAAATTTAAAGGCATTTGTACTATAGTAGTATTATTCTTTTATAAAATGTCCAATTTTTAGAAAAGGTCATGAATAGTAAATTAAGTGACACAATGTATATATTCTAAATTTATTTTTCTATTTGGTCAAAGTTATTTACAAATAATGTAACAATCTTTCTCACACGTATGAACTTCAATCATTAAGGTTAGATTTTTCACGTATGGTCATCAACTTCAGAGGACATACCATCTAAACATGTGATTTTTAAAGAGTACATCACTACACCAGGTTTCTTAAAAATGTTTCAAGTAAGTTTAAATTATTTAACATTCTACAGAAATGGGATATTACACATTTCTGGAGGAACCATGCTTAATGATTATTTGAATGATGAATTCGAGAGAACAAACAGAATAGGATATTAGCGTTAACAAAAACCATTCAAAAATTCTTCAGGGCAGAAAGACATTTTCCTCAACATTATCAACTTGTCTTACTCTAACTTGGAAACAACAGAATGAGGGATACAAAGAATAAAATTTAATTTTATCTTCATGTTAATTTCTTCCCATAGTATGTCACACATGTTAAATAAATTAAATTACATTACATGTCAGAAGATCTGGATGTTGGTTCATAAGACTTCGCAGTATACCAAGTATATGGAAAATAATTACCTCCTCTATTTCAATTACATTTTCGGCTAAAATGTCCTATAATTCATTGCACAATTATCGCTTACTATCACTGACAATGCACCATACAAAATGCTTCACTTTAAGCTTCTCACGATTTTGTCTCCTCTGTAATATCGATGGGCGTAGGCCTCTCATTTCAAACTTACTGCCAATAGTGCCAAGAAAGTCCGTGCGTCTGTGTCAATGGCAAGAGACTATTGTCGAATTTAAAAGTAGTGTGATGTGACACATTCATCAGCTTAATGTGGTTATCTAATCAGGAGCTCCGTTGCGACTTAATTTTTTGGTGTTATTCAATTTCATACTAGGATTTATTTCACTATGCATTTGAAGTAAATAAGCTATTGCAGTTCCATCCAATCGGGAGATTATAAGTCGCTTTTGATGTTACTCAGATATCATATAGGGATATCTATGGGGACTTTCAAGCACCTGATTGGATGGAACTGTGAACAACTGATTTATTACTTGCGCAAGTTTTCTTGCTTCCCCCTTCCTGGTATTGTACAATAAACAGTCACGGCAAAAGCTCGCACGGTGCACTGATGACATTCCAAACACGTCTTCACTAGCGCGAAATAGAAACTATTTTCTGTTGAAAACGAGAACTATGATTTTCTACAAACAAAATCTAAAGAAATGACCAAAGTAGGTGAAGATCCATCACAGGAGATACCTCGAACTCCTGAGAACGTTAGAACGCAAATTATTTAGTAAGTTGCGAAGGCATGACCAGGCATGACCCGGGCATGACTGATTCTCCAGATTGGCATTGCTTCATAAAATCTAGTGACCGATTTCGTAACTAATGCCCCCACTCTACCCCCATTTCTTTAATCCATCGTTCACGAAAAGGTGCACGAGTATTACTTCTCATGTTTTAAGTGCTATTTAACACGCACATTTTCTTGAGCTTTCATTTCGCTACATGCGAGGGGACTGGGGAGTTACATTACTTTATTTTTAGGACTATTGTATGAAATCTGTAGCTCGTATTTCGATGCAAACTATTTTCTACTGGACATGAGCAAACCCTCTGGTTATTAGAGTTTGTCAACAAAACTTGTTCCTATCATTTATTCTGAATTCGACCAATGTTAGTAAGGGAGTGGGAGTACCCATGCCAGGGCTCAAGAAAACATGCTCATCTTGAGGGGCGGTAAAACGATTCTCGACCAATAACAAGATCAATAAGCTGAGCGGTACTTTTCAATCCCTTGTGTTATATTAATTCTTTTCCGTCATTCTTAATTAACAAGGAAAAATATAGTAACTTGGCCATTCATGCGACGAACAGATTCTTGAATAAACTATTGCATTAATAACAATCAAAGACCTGAAAAAAAATGTAAGTGCACTTCCGTTGAATTTACGTTTACCAAAATGACGATGAATGAATCAAGCCATGTAACATTAACAAGAAACGAAGTCGAGACGCATTTCTTGATTGTGTAACGGGGTGAATATAAATGGTAGAAGTGGTTGGTTGTTCTTAATTCCGGGCGCTTCAACTACAGAGGTCATTAGTCCTGTAAGTGTAGAGCATGTTTTTTTCCTCGTGAGGTGGCGGTGATCTTTCCCCGCTTGATGAGATCCGGCTCCGAATCGTCGGCTAGCGGGATTTTCCTCCTCCAGGTACGTTCCCCAGCCGGGACAAGCTCTAATCTCTCGACCGTCTCCCAGCTTGTGAGGTAGTAACGGGCATGTTAGTGAAGTGTGTGTAAGAGCGATGATAGGACATGAAAGAGGAAGGAAAGATCGCGCGCGATCCGTAGCCCCTTGTTAGGGTACTTCTACGGTATCCGCCTAGTTTTGATCGGAGAAACCTCTGTAAACTACCGATCAGAGAGCTGACCTCTAGAATTATCCTCCAGACAGCGACTGAATTCGACCTAGCAGACAAGCTAGTGTCGAAAATCTTGTTACTGTCGGGACTCGAACCTAAGACCTCCCGTTCAGAGGAACTGTAATGACATCAGTTGATGTACTTCTCAAAAGTACGAAAGTGGCACTTACATCCTTTTTTATTTCGTCTTCAATTTATTAATATTTCAACAAAGCGACGTTTCGAGACTAAATTTGCCTCATCATTAGGATAGAAACAACACATTTCTTTTCTTTTTTTAATACTGTACATTGGGTGGTATGAATAAAAGTAAGCAATTACTCTTTGCTCCGAGTTTCGGAGATCCTTCTCAATTTCGTATGAATAAAGTGGGTGAGCAATTGCTCAGTCTCTGAGCGCTTGCTCATCTCTGAGCGTTCTCTCAACTGGCGAGCAAATGCTCAGAATTGGTATGAATAAAGTTAAGAGTTTACTCTCTAGAGTGAGCACTTGCTCCAAAATTTCGGAGGGACCTTAGTAGCAGACTCACGTTTGAAAAGTAATGTTAAATTGGTCGATTTTTTTACCGTATTGATATGCAGATACAGCGGGATAAAAAAATTACAAGAAAAGGCGCAATTCTCGTGATGCAGATTATTAGAATCTTTGCAGATTCGAAAAGGACAATGAATGGTTTTTATCGGCGTTTGCTTTCAGGCGCGTTTTCATATTGCATATCTTCTATTTTAATTGGCCATCGCTCTTTTCTACTTGGAATTTTTCGGGGTACTGTTTTTTCAAACTTTGTAATGTTTCGTTTCGGCCACAGCGTACCTCCGGAAGCTGGCTCTTTTCAAAAATAATTAATTATTCGCTTAGCATTCCAGCAAAAACTAGCTGGGCCTCTGGCGCCTGATCTTCGTTACTGCAAACGTCAGGGAAAACTGGATGTCAGTCTTTCCTTCCAGCTCGTGACCTTTAAGTGCCACAACATTTAAAATCGAGTATAGCTGAATGAGTCCCTCGTGTCTGGACTGATGTAACCAAACATCTGACCATCGATAACCAGTTGCAAAATTGAATCTGTTCCTTGACATGGGAAAATTTGCTGCAAGAATATAGCCGGTTAAATTAACATTTTGGTGTAAATATATCTATTTCATCTATTTGAACGTTTCAAGATGAATATTGTTACGAGAATTTTTAACAACAGCACGTCAAGAAGGTTGTCATTAGGATTATATCTCTGTCGTGGCTTCGCAACATCCAAAGAGGCGATTGAAAAATTAGTTACACACAATAAAGTTGTTGTTTTCATGAAAGGCGTGCCTCAAGAGCCGCGTTGTGGATTTAGTAATGCTGTTGTGCAGATATTGAGAATGCATGGGGTGAACTACGATTCCCATGATGTTTTGAAAGATGAAGAATTGCGACAAGGTTAGAACCAGTTTTCACGATACTGTGCCTTAGTTACCGCAAATGTTTCATTTATTTATCTACGTTTCAGGAATAAAAGATTTCAGCAGTTGGCCCACAATCCCACAAGTATTTATAAATGGAGAGTTTGTCGGAGGATGTGACATTCTCTTACAAATGCATCAGAGTGGTGACCTCATTGAAGAATTAAAAAAGGTTGGCATTAAATCTGCTTTATTGGAAGCTGCTTCGAGCGAAAGTGCAGAACCTGCAGAGAAAAAGAAATGAGAATATTAAGGTGTCATAGATGCTTTATGTACAGTCAACATGTTTTTATGTTCCCTATGTAAATATGATTTTCAAAATAAATTATATATTTATTGCAGTTTAATGCAATGTATTGAACTTGAAGTCGAAATCACATTTATGAAACCCCTCAATTCTGTAGTAAAGCATAGTCACAAAAATAAATTGCTGATATAATTAAATTGAAGTGGCATTTAAATTTAATAAGCATTTGCATAGAACAAGCAATATCACCTTTTTAATATTTTATTATACTCTATCATTACTTGATGTTCTTGTTCTTATAATTTAAATATATATAAATAAAAAGAATATTTATTCATAATGAATGTGATGTGATCTACATTTAATGAACGTTAGTGTAACAATTCCTCATTTGTTTTAGCTATAAGGGGACTGTAGAAGAACATGTAAGGACAACACAAACACACACACACATCCATGCATAAGGCAGGATTCAAACCCACAGCCCTTCAGCCTTAGTAACCTCGTCTATCCAGGCTGGCATTTATAATTTTATTTCAGAAATCTCAATTAGACAAATTCTGCGTCAGGGGATTCGTCCAAATTAGTTAAATGCTAAACCACAATAGAAATTTGTGCTTCAAAAGCAGACAGTAAGATTCTATTCATGAGGGGAAAAAGCGCAGAAATTAATTTAAGAGAATATCTAGAGTGGAATACATTATTATTATTATTATTATTATTATTATTATTATTATTAAGGCCCAGAATTCATGTTTAAAATTATGAACTTTATAATGTGCTAATTATCAAAGGTCCACAAAACAATCGAACGGAAAGAAATTCTGGGATTTTATTTAGCATATTAGTGCATTTGTGTTAATGCATCATTCTTCCATTATATTTCAGTTCTTAGTCATATTATACTGTTTTTTTGTTCTTGATGTGGCATATTTTTCTTGAAATTTCAGTTACTATGCATATCTGTTTTCTCATACCGATAAGAGTACTTCATACATGTTAATACGAATGCGGTTCATGAAAAACCATGGGAATGTCTTTTGTTCGTTACTGCAGTGTTTGCCCGAACTAATTGTCCCATTATTAATGATGTGATAATTTTTTTGGGTAAAGAATGAGCGGCATTGGAATTGATACAGATGAAATTATTATATTTTACTTTAAAAATTATCGCTGGAGTACAAAGTCGAGACAAAAGAAAGTTTTGTAATTGTTCACGAGTACAGAAAACTTAATTGTTAGAGTATATTTCATTAGTTCTAGCACGTATTTTACAAATGCTAAAGCATATTTGCATACATATTTCTCATTTTGATACATTAACATCGGAGCCTTAATTATATTCAATGTCACTTGGCAAAAGAAAGTATATGAAATAGGAAAGTCAGGAACCTTAGAAGAATTATCGAGTGCACAAAGCAGTATCATTTTCAGGGAAAGCTGCTGCAAGTGATGATTCTGATCATGATAATAGTAATGAAATATCTACATTTTCTGCTTTGTAGTTAACACATGTAAGTGACACGTAAATGTGTTAATGAGTATGTTACCAAGTACAACTGACTAGAAGCTGTTCATTTGACACAGACTCATTTGCACAAGTTGTTTAACAGTTTTCTATTTCTTATTCAAATAAATACGTTTATAGGCAAAAACTTGTAAATCCAATGTTTTACATGGCTGTATAAGACAGCTATTCAGATACATGAGGGCCTAAATCTAATCGTACACAGGCAATGCTCTCTTCTATCATTGCATTAAGACTATAAACAATCCCTGGGCAAAATGGAGGAAAAATCACTAATTCTTACTAAAGAGGCCATTATTTTTACAAAGCTAAAGCATTTTGTTTTATTTACTTAAAATATTAAATGAAACGCCAAAGAAACAAACTGAAAGCTCAAAAACAAAATTTAGGTTTCAGTAAATCTTGTTGGCAATACATTGAATATTTAAATGACTATTAGTTTTAGCATGTTCAAAGAATTTTAAGCAAAAATTTATTTGAATTTTACATAAAAAATTGGTTCATGGGAGGGGGACGATCAAATGTAGTGTATTTTGCAAATGATAGCTAATGGTCAAGACCGTTGGGACATACTTAGCCAACTGTAGGTGAACCAATTTTCAAGTTAAAACGGTAGAAAATATTAACTTGTATTTCTCCAAACATGTAGACTAATCAATAAAATGAAAAAATTAAGTTTGTCAGCATGGGTTATTGAATTCCCAAACTATTTTCCTTTCAAGTTTCCTGCTTGTTTTTATAGCATTTTAATTAAGATTTTTCAGGGAGGGGAGGGTATGCATACACAATTCACCTTAATTAAAATAACAATCATCCAAAATGTACTCACACATACACACACTTTGATGTAAAGTTCATGCCATTTTCCACTGAAGACACCAAGTTCACATCCAAGATCCTTTATTGTACCATGTACAGAATATATATTATATAATTTTATGTATAAAAACATACTGTAAGGTCCAAGTTATCTTATTTTGAGTGCAGTTCAAGCACCAGACAATGCCTTGAACACAATATTTATTGTACCATTCAATAAACTATCATTCAAGTTTAACATGGAGTGCATGATTGATTTGAAGCCATATCCACCTTATTACAGTTAATGCATCTGATGTCAAGAACAAACTGTCAGTTACCAAGTTTTTTTTCTGGTCCCTTGAAGTGATGCACTCCTGGAAGTTTCATACCATGTTATGAAAGCAAATTTGTATCTTTCAGAAATGTTTTCAATTTAAGGGTATATTTTCATAAGGAAATGAAACATACCTATACTTGCTGAACGACAGAATAAGTGACAGCCCATATTCTGTATTGCATGATAAAATAAGAGTAATAACCAGCAACTAACAAGGTATGTAATAAAAATTATGTTAGCTGCTTCGTTGTAACATGAAAATAACTGAAGCTTACGCAAACATATCTAATTCTAGCCTTAATCATATATATTTATATATATACATTCACTCGTAACATCAAAAACATTCACTATTCATATTCATAGTCACTGCAACAATATATATTTGAAATGTATTCATGAAATAACTTGCCTATCAGATCTGGATATATGTATTATTTCATGTTACCACATATTTACCAAAGTTAATGTAACCATACAATTACTTATATTCACTTTTTACACTCTCTGTATCACTGAGATCTAACTGTACAAATGCAACATTCACAACAAGTAAACAAAGACATAAAGAGTTTTGTAAATTATCATTGAAAATATGATAGTGATAACTCTATTTAAATTCAAAAACACTTCAAGTTAATGTTTGTACATCAAAGTTAACAACCTCAAATCTGAACCACTTCTCGATTTTAACCAAACCAAGGATTCATGTAGTGATCAGCAGACAGGTAAGTCTTGGCTAATCACTAAAGCTTTCAAGTTTTCATAGAAATTAAAAAAAATTTTAAAAAATGCTAGAAAGATAAGTACTTGTAAAAAGACTTCATTCATGCAGGAAATTCTACCAAAAGTATTTAAAAACACTGTTGAAGAATGAGTTTACAGAACCATGAAAAACATGATTGAACATTATTTTACATCACTTGAGACTTAAGTATATATGTGTATATTTTGTATTATCCTACTTTTCTCTTAGCAATTTATTCAACTCTTGAAGAAATATTTGCCACCAACAAGCAAACTAGAAAGTAATCACTTTGAAAATTCTACACTTTCCCCTCACAAGGGCTTTAACTTCTCGAGTCTAATACACATAGATGGCCTGCATCACACAACTTTGAAAAGCTAATTCTTCCACTTTACAATCCTACCAAACTTAAAAAATGTGACAAAATTTCTTAGAACCCAAAAAGAAAACAGTTCAGAGAATGAACTAAAACAAAAATGTAATCAACATGTGATTAAGATAAGTGAGTACACATCTTTAAGGAAAGATGAATAGGACCAAGTACAAACACAGGACTTTGGAAACAAAAACTCTCAGTTCAACAAAACACAAAAATAAAAAAGTTATCATTGTAAAATTTTTGGCACGTTAATACATGACAGCGTAGTATGCAAACACACAATGGGGCATGTGATGCAAGTCGCTTCTAATTCCCTCCTAAAATATCGGTTTAGAAATAACATAATGTACTGTAAGTGATAAATAGTAGTTTCTAGTATAGAGAATGATATATAAAGCTGTATGAAAGATAATTTGATCATGATATGAAAAAGAAATAACAATAAAGATTCTTAATGTTCATGAACTTAAGCAACCAGTGCCAATGAACATGTGGATCTTGCACATAAATTGTTTTTCTTTAACTCCAAACTACAGTAAAACATTTGTAACCCTTTAAAGAAGGAATGATCAAACAAAAACTGGTGCATCTGATTAATAACACCAACTGAATGATGAAATTAAGATTAATTCTTTCCTTCACAATGAAGTAATAAAGCTATTTTCTCTAATGCCCAAAACTGAGGAGAATAATTTCTAGGCCCTGATTAGTTTCAAGTAGTTGTTGCAACAAACTGAAGACTGTTGGAATGTTTTGCCAAATAGAACCTAGCGAATACTCTGCTGAGTTTTTTGATTTAAACCAAAGGTGTAGTACGCAAATTTATGAGGAAAACCTTTTATAATTAATTTGTACAACATTTGAGGCATCATAATGCACTGAGAAAAGAATACAAATGTTCATAAAACTTCATTAAAGTGACTTTGCACAACCTGTGTAATTTCAGTTAATAATTAAAGACTGTTTTAGATCTTTTTCACAAAAAGGGATTATATAGTCAATTGAAAACCATAAAATGTGAAACTGCAAGTTTTTCTAGGCAACATCTAGATTTTAGTTTTCCAAAATGAATTATTTTTTACCTCTGCTGCTCAGTAAAATAAGAGGGCAAACCTTATGCTTTCACGTCTTGTAATGCAATCCATGAACATTTGGCACCTAACTGCATATGTAAAAGAAAAAGCTACGCGAATGAGGTGAATACCGAACTATAAATATAATTACCAAATTTTCCAAGAATTTTACATATTGTAGGAAATAACAAACCTTACTAACATTAGAAATATGCTTGGTTCCAACTCTCAAAATGTTTGTTGTCCAAGTCAAATCATATCGTTATTCTTTCAATTCAAAATGATCAAAGAGAACATGTATAATTCTTCCATGATGACAATTATTGAACATATTCAGGGGCTATTTTTCTCCAAAGTGGACATCAAACATACATAATTCAACTTCTCCAGAAACTATGATCAAGCTTTATACAAATTTCATAATGTGTGTGTAAATGTGTTGTAATTGTGCCTAATTAAAAGCACATCAACTAAACAAATCAATGGTAATAAGCAATTCAATTCTTGCAAAATAGATTAAAATGCTTTCTTGATAAAATTTACCAATCTTATTTGTATTTGCTTTTAAATAAACAGTATTAGCCCAATAAATAACTCTACTATCCATTCTTTATTCCAGCAGATCATACTATATCAATATATACTCTAATTAATCTTTAATGTCATTCATTGTCTTTTCTCTTTTACTGAAACAAATATTTTCTCTCCTTTCAGAAGAGAAAATCAGCAAAATACACTCCTGAAAAATTAACACTGATATGATTTCAACAAGTTTAGAAGTTGATTATGTTTTGATTATGAAGAGTTGGTAAACTAATTAAAAATAAACCAATCAGAGTTAACACAACTGAGTTAAGGTGCGAGTACTATAGCACATTTATGTCAAAGGGTGGCGAGTTCATTGGACACGGATGTTTCTATAAAGTATACATGAAGCATTCCAGGCATGAGGCATTCCTGTAGTAAGATATGTTATAAGTTTTGACAGCCAAGGAGATGCGGTTAGATAAAATGATTGAAAATATTGGTAAATGATGTTTTCATTTGCTGTTTTCAAAAGCCAAACAGACGAATACTGTCATGAACAGAATCGAAATAGTATACTAGGAGACCCGAGATTGTAAAAAACATCAAGGAAATATTCTAGATATTAATATTAGTTTATTCACATTGCCACTAATAAAAATCCCTTTGAACTTTCAGATTAAACAATTTTCTAGATATTTGATTTGATATTATTTTTTGTTTTTCTTTCATAAGCACGTAATATGTTTGTTGCAGTTCTTTTTTACAGCACAATACACATTATTTTCTTATTAAACGCTTAACCATTTGCCCTTGTTGATGCCATCAAAGTTACTTCCAATGAATCGTATCACAATCTCATACTTACGTAAATAGCAAAAACATTAAACTAAAGCAATACCAAAAATTACAAAATATTATCCAGTTTTCCTACATTTGAACAATTTCAACCCCTATAAATAAAATAACAGTTTGTAATTTAACAGCATAATATTACCAGGACAGCAATATTTTTGCACATTACACAATTTTTAAAAGAAATATTAAAATGTGAAATAGTAGTACACTTACATTTGGTTTTTCACCTCAGAACAATGATCAGTTTTCTCAAATTCTCAAAAAAATTATTTTCCCCATGTTAGGCTAGATACTAATGGTTCTACAATAAAAAATTACTTGAGTAAACAGTAACTTAAGTACAAAACTAGCAAAAATATTTTTGCATGTTATATTTTTTAGGTCAATAAACACATTGTAGAATCATCCTAAGATATTGATGGGAAATTTTCCTTGGAACAAAGAGAGAGAGCATAGAGGAGTTTATAGACAAACAAGAGTTGTGGCTACAAGTTAATTTTGACTTTTCAATCACAAAGGTTTTGTAGTCGTGAAACCCCAATGAGGCCAAGTGTACATGTATTAGTAATAAATTGAAATCTTAAGTTCCAAAGAATTTTCTTATCCCAAAACCACTTTCAACAAAACGGACATTTTTTAGATTGCACATAATTGGGAGTCTCTTTCAGAATTATTTTAAAATTCAAAGCTCACATTTTTTTAACATACCAGAATGAATTAAAGAGTCCCTCACAAAAACACAAGGCATAATATTCTTCATTAATACAAGATTTTATGGCTATAAAAGACTGGTTTTTGACAAAAGCTAAGTTAAAATTCACAACAACCAACAAATCCTGGGCCGTGCTCTTTGTAAACCCCTAACGATCTACAGTCTACACCAGAGGTTCTCAAACTTTTTAAGACCGTGCCCTTCGTACAGAACTAAAAGAATAACCTTTGCACTGCTAATTCTTCAGGTCCTGCTTTCCTGTCACCTCTTAATTAATATCCCACTGGTGCATTACTGCGGCGCTTGCAAAGCATTGGTGGTTTGTAAGTTTTGGATCTCTAAAGAAGATGCATTTTGATTAACACAAAATTAGAACAAGTTATGTTGACATCACCACACTTCGAACTAGTTAATAGTCTAACAAACCATCTTACAATTTAAAATTATAATAATTTTTTTTCTCCCCATTCTTTACACTTGTTAACTGTGTGATGGTGCCTTTTTTCTTTTTGACAAAATTTCTGGAAATTGAACACGCTTGGTTACTGGTGCTGCAATGATTTAGCTATTGTAACAAGATACATTAGATGCTCCATATCATAATAGTTAAACCAATTAGTAGCCTACAAACTAATATGAAATTGTCCAACAATGGGCATGATAAGACATCTACCAATTGTTAATTTTGTAGTTGTGAGTATCCTGTCAAAATTCTAATTCAGAGCTCATAAAAGAATGAAAACTAAGTGTTGGATGTCTTCACATCAGAGTGAAAGATCAATTACACAATGACAAGCCTCACATAACATAGGAGCGCAAAGGGTCAATGTGCCTGATGATGAAATCTCCTGAAACAACTGTTTTTTAATAAGATTAGCCAAATAAATTAACCATACATTTTTCAATTAATTTAAAAAAATGTATCTTGCATATTAAATAATAACAAGAATGTGGAGAAAACCTCTGATGTTTCAGTAAAGTGGCTTGTTTCTTCCTCAAATCTTCCTATGGAATTTGTTCATACACCTTCTACTAGCCATCTGTATAAAGCTAGAAGCAAGCTTACCACAGTTTGAGAATACCATAATATCATAGGTGTCACAAGTTTCATTCCTCTGCTTAGATTGCACTTGACATAGCAAGGCATTTTACAAAACTACTCTGCTTTGCAAAAAGAGTCCAGCTTGCTTTTGTGCTGGGTACTTCGGGCGATTCTCATTCACAACATTAACTCTACATTAAACATTCTTTAAAAAAACAAAAACATTAAAACGGAAGACTCAAAAATGTTACAATAAAACAAAAACAGCAACAGCAACAAAATTAATTACTTCTGGAGAGTTGTTAGGACAATCAGAATATCTCCTTTTTCCAATCCCATGTTGCTTTACCTCAAACTTGGTGATGTTAAGAAGTCAAAAAATTGACTAAATATTTAACAATGCATCTTTAATACGTTGAAATGGTTTCAACAAAATGCTTGTGAAGTACAAGTACACCAACTCATGGCCACAACTTGGAGAAAGGAAAGAAAGAAACAAAGAGGAATACAAGGCAAATGTCTCTGTTGCAATATAGTGCAATAAAGCTATGCAACTAGCATTTTATGAACGTACAACAAGAACATAAAGGTAATACTCATTTAAGCGTACTTGAGGAGCTTCAACACATAAGTACACACTTGGCAGCAGGAAAACAGTACCAAGCTTAAAAGAAAACAAACCTACAAAAGAAAATATGTTCACATCATTGAAAGTCCAAAGACTTGCCAGAGAATCACTATGTTAAATTGCCATTTTTTCCCCGTAAAGACAACCAAACAAGAACTCGTAAGGTAGAAAGAAATTTACTCCATAATTTGATCACAAAGACAGAAAGAAGAGAAAAAAAATTTAACTGTTTACCCTGGAAACGGGTAAATATATCTGCTAATATATTGTGCGAATATATTTGCAAATGTGCCTTATATATTTAGAATTTTGTTCTCGGAAGATGGTGGAATAACAAATTTAATCACCTGTTGCATAATAGAGGCTTTCACAGATAATTTTGTCTTAGTTCTCCTTTTCTTCAAACTTTCTCACAAATTAAACTTACACAAAGCTGATCACTGAGTTCCAATAGTAATTTATGCTAATCATGTTAAGTGTGATGTATCAGAAGATTCATCCAGATATATTGTAACATTAGTTTTTAAAATTTAAAATGCATGAAAATGTAGGACCAAAAAATTAATTCGGTAAACACTTATTGACCTCATAGATTTCCTCGACAAGTCTTGTTCTTCAGGAAATTCCACACATTCTTCCAATCTGCATTCCCAAAGCTCACAGCAGTGTGAGGCATGGCCTCAGAAAATATCCTAATCTAGTGCCAAGAGCGCACACAAGTTTGGTAAGTATCACATATTTAACATAATTTGTAACAATATCACTTGTACAATAAGTTATGTTAAGTAACCAAACCACAATGTACAGATAACATAACCATCATTCGATTATAGTAAAAAATAATCACAGAAATGTGAAACTAGCACTACTTAATATCACCACAGCCTTCAACTATCCTAGGCAGTGCTGACCACATGTACAGGGAAGACTTATACTTGATCAACTAAAATGTAGGTCACACTGAAACTGTCATGTCATGCACAGAAAGTACGTGTATCATACGGTATACATTATGTTAGCAAATTTATCATGCATGCACAATTGTATATGGCACAGTGCTCTGTGACTGCAGGAGCAATTATTGCATCCAAGATTAAAACTTGCATTTTGGAATAGTCCGCATACAGCATTATTGCAGACAATGGCGGGAATGACAGGTGTCATTAAAAATGAGAACAAATTATATTGTTAAACCCCAAGCTCAGCACATTGGTATACCTAAGGAATGATCCAAAATACGATTAGTCTTAATTTTTCATTTGCTTCCCCAACTGGATTAAAGCTTCAATGACATTTGAGTTCTCCTTTAATTATTTTAATTTTCCCACTTTTATTTTGCTTATCAACCCACATATCTGTAAATGAAAAACTGTTAATCACATTGTGTAAAGTCAAAAACCAACTGTGCTCTACCTGAGCATAACATGTGGTTCAGAATGACCTTAAAGAAATGTTAACAATCTACTGCAGAAAGACTTTCTTGGCTTACTCAAAGCATTCATATGCATTCTCTGAAAACACTACCTTGAATCCACTTAATTATTAACGACTTTATTTGCATTATGAACATTGGAAATTAGGAATTGTTGTAATCATTGCCCATACGTATTTGACTAAATGCCCTTCTAACATATCCAAGTAATTAATCTCTAATGAATATACAAGGAAAAAGTAAATTTAATATGGATGCAAAGAATATGGCTTTAATGTCTTAACAGGACTTGCAATCCAGGCCAGCATTTCTGCTCTGAATTTATACACACCCAACACTGAGGCAACAAACATAAGTAACATTAACAATAAATTATTTTTGGGGAGAGCACTGCACTTAAAAAAGTCCCTAATCCTGCAATTTCATATATTCTCTATCAAAACAATAAAAAGAAAAAAAGTAACATACTTTTCCCTTAAAACTGAACAAAAAAATGTACACGTTATAACATAGATAAACAGTACATGGCATTGAAAAAACAAGCATCAATAACACCCAACTACGTTACACTGCACATCTTTCACTACAGTTGCCCTGTGCACTGAAAGCCCATAAGTGCACTATCGCTGCCAACCCTGAGCAGAAATGCACGCGTGGCTTCAGCTCACCCACCAATCTGCATCAGGCAGCAGTTCATGCCTAAAGTTTGGGCTCCATGTACACCTTGCACCACTGCAGAGCAACACTAGAGACCTCATCCTTGCCTAGGGTAAGAGTCTCTCAGGTCCCCAGGCATAGGATATTAATCCTGCCACTTCCCACAGGCTGTTCTTTCAGAAGCTGCCTCATCTATACTGTACTCATTCCTCCAGCCTACGGCCGCCGCACCATATGAATAGCCACTATATGAAGCGCGGGGGTCCTGTGTGGTAGGTGCCTGCACCTAAATTCCCCAAGTGAGGGCCAGGGGAAGGTCGGTGGTGGGGATATGGGGGCGGAGGTCCAGGACCAGCCAAGTATCGGTGGTAGCCCCCAGGTGGAAGAGCATGTGCTGCTGGGGGAAGAATGGGTCCTGGCACACTACCACCGCCACCGCCAGCACCCAGTGGGTGCATGTGACTTGTGCCATCACCCAGGTCTAGTTCCAGCTCACCACCTTGGTCCTGGAGTTGCAGCTGGGCGAATGAGGCAGTTGCCATAGCAACATCAGGCATGATATCAGATAGGTGTCCATCACTGCATGAACTGCTTTCCGGCTGAGAAGATAAAAGATTTTCTCATAAAACAGTAAGTATTGAGATGATATTAACCGTTGTTAATATCAATTTTGTGCAACTGGGACAACATTTACTATTACAAAAATAATGAAACAACTATTTTCTATTTTCTAATTCATAGAGTAAATACTTTAGCAGCAAGCAAAAGGATCCACATTAATTAGAAACCAGATAACAAATGTACATGACAATGTTGTCAAAATTATTGCTCTAATTATTCATGTAGAATATTGTATTATACAACTGACTTTCTTAGGATTTTAACATAATTATAGTGAAACTCCTCTTTTACGTTTGTACAATTATTTTCTGGGTCTCTTCAATTCCTATACGTTCACAATGTAAAAATATATAAACTTTTCCACCTTTCAAATTAAAATTTTCCATCTTTTGCACTTTTTACCCTAATACGTGAATGCAAGGGGAGCAAACCAAAATACTAGATCCACAGTCAAACAGTTGGCTGTGGATCTAGTATTTTGTTTGTTCTTGCCTACTGCTCAAAATATATGACCATTGGTGATTGGGTATAGTCAGAGTTATTCTGTTTGTCTCTCGTGACTTATGCTCAGTGTTATTGCTTGTAATTTTGAAAATAATATTAATTAATCTTTAAGTAGGCATGCCACAGCAATCCAGTACCGCACTTCTGCTTATGAAGTGGTAGCTTGATTATCGATACTGGTGTCTGGTAGAAATTTTGTATATTTCACGTTTTTTGTATTTCACACACGAGTGTCAATCATTGGAGAAGTTCTCACCATTCTGTCCATTGTGAACATTGCGCGAAGGTGGAAGGTTGGTATGGTGGCACTTACTGCCACATAGGCCTAGAAATGTAATTATTTATTCCTTCAGCTTTTTCTTTTGAAACTTCTCCAGCTTCGGCATTTTGTTACTATTTATGCAACTTAAATATTACTTAACAATGCACTTATATCAGCAGTATGGAAAAAATTCCTACTCTGCAGGAATAGTCTTGATGAAGAATTGATAGATTTATCAAGTAAATCTGACGAAGAGAATTAAATTATTTGAAAGAACATAGCAGTGACTGAATTATCAGCTTCAGATCACAACCCCACAACCGAAAACTATTCTAGTGGTTATTCCCTGGCTGACTATCTGAAATGAAATCATATTCTTGGGAACAAAGAAAAATAATAAAAGAGAAACACCAATGGAATTCTGTGACAACAAATCAAAGGAAGTGGAATCAAATATGTTTGATTACGAAGATAATTTCACTCTAGTCCCATACATCCTCGAGACAAAAAATATTTGATATTACAGTGAAACTCCTTTTATATGTTTTGCACTTAAACCTTTTTTCATGTTTATACGTTGTTTTTTTTTGGCAAGTCTCAGATAAATTCCTACAATTCACATGCAAAATTATTTCAATATGCATTTTATGTTTTTTCACACTTATACATACATAATAAAAGTCCCTTCAAGACTATATAATGCAAAGTCAGATCACAGGTCACCTTGGGCAGCAGAACTTTCAGAGAAGGGAACTGGAGATGTGGATTAAGGTAATTTCCGAGAAACCTATATTTTTTGACATTTTTTAAAATTACAATAACCCAGTGCAATTTAAATGTAACATTTTAAATAAAAACATAATATATAAATTTGTAACTAATTGTAAGACTTTAGAGACACATTTCTAAAGATTTTAAGACCAACCCCTAATCATGGAACATGTTTTGTGCACTACTGCACCTTACAGGCGAATCGTAAAGTTAAACACACTAAGATAACACCCTTTTTTCATTAACAATTTTTTAAACTGCATATTGAAATCATCTTTTTTGACAATATCTTTTCTAATAAAACAGCAGTGTAAAAGTATTGAGTTTTTATTTTGCTCATAATATTTCATTTCAGTTGTTTTCTCACTTATACATTTTTTTCCCTTCAGTGACCCGGAAAAACCTATAAGTGAAGTTCTATTGTGTTTCAACAATGCACGATAATAGAGAAGCTAATGAGAAAACAAGCAATATAGAACAAAGAAAGGTGTGGGTATAGACCAAAAGTGCACAAGTTTCTCTGTGGAAACAAAAATGACAATACTGCCTGTTTCCCTACTTTTTTACTATTATTGGTATTGCAACAACAAATTCACAAGTGATTTTCAGAGCAAATAATCCATCAACAGATAGTACTGGACTTTTATGAATAGTACTAATTGGGCACTGAAAGAGGGAAGAAATGCATTTCTTTCCAAAAAATTTGGACTTATTTCAGGAAAATGGAGTTTGAGTATGGAGGAAGTTAGAACAGTAGATGAAAGAAAAATTTTGAATTTTTGCAGTGTTCGAAAAATGTGCGATTTCAATGAACATGAGACCTGCACCATTCTCATAAGTGTCCTTTACACTACCCGAGGTTAAAAGTTAATCAAATAGTTTTGTGCCTTTTAAAAAAGTTTTTTTTGTTTTTTGTTTAACATAAAAGTATGCAAACAATCCTCATATTTTCAAACACCTTGCATTGCCGAAGAAGAAGAAAAAAGAAAAAAGAAAAAAGAAAAAAAAAAAAAAAAAAAAAAAAAAAAAAGAAAGAAAAAAAAAGAAAGAAAAAAAAAGAAATAAAAATAAAAAAAGAAAAGAAAAAAAAGAAAGAAAAAAAAAGAAAGAAAGAAAGAGAAAAGTTCATAATTGTAGATGTAGGAAGATGGCAAAAACATTTTGAATTTTTGCAATTTTCGAAAAAACTAATTTCAACAAAAATAAGGCCAGTCCGTTCTCTTAAATGTCCTTTGCCCTATTTATCAACAAAAATTTATCAAAAAATTTAGAAAAAAGTTTTTGGAATAGTTTGAAAATAACTCAGGATCTTCATATAAAGTACCCCCAAAATGAAAATATCGGTTTAAAATTCAAGGGGCTACAACATTAACCAGATCAATTAATGAATTTTGAAGAAAACTGGCTGAACGGTTTACCCTCTAGCGTTCTTCACAGACAAACACAGGTGGGTAGATATTTTGCCGTTAATTGATTTCTCGGCTTTGAGGACCCGCAAAACGGATTCTGGCTACACCGTGTTCAAAAATTCTTTTCTATATTTACCTACTGGATTATCAACTTTTTCATTTACACATTGCCGATAAGAAATTTTCTGCTGAAAATTCACCATTTTCTCCCCACAGCATTACATAACTTTCTCTATAAGCAGTAGCGAGAAAGTAAAACGTGTATAAAAGCTGGAAAATCAAAAATCACCTACAGGTTTATTTATCAGTATTAATTGAATTTGTAAGAAGAAGTGCTTCAAATGATTTTCAGTAGTTATCTGCGATAACACATTCATGAGATAAATGACAAATAATAAGCCCCGGGAGTGACTTGAACCCACGACCTTTTGAACTGAAGCGCTTAATTCGCACATGATATTTAATCCCCTCGAACAAGGATTTAGAGTTCTATCATATTCTTTAAGACATAATTGTTTAACTTTTAGCATTAGAGAGCCAAAAAATTGAGAAAATGTGAAAAAAATGTCCTTTGAGCGGCCAAAGATGCCAGCTGAGAAGGCATAACCGAAAAGCTAGTCCAGACTACAGAGATTATATAACTAACCAGTGCGAGAAAGTCTGTGCCATTTATAGCACCACTAGTTTTTGACTACTGTCGTTACAAACGAGGAAAGGTCTTAATGAATATATTTTGTGCAGTTTTTAAGAAAATAAATATTTTTGAAATTCCATAAATTTCAAGAGAAAATGATGGCAAACTACTCTATTTGTTTTCTCTAAAAAATTGTGCATCACCTTTTTCAAAGACCTTATTTTTTACAACAGACTTTGTTTAAAGCAAAAATCACTATCTCCAATTTTGTAATATTTTACAAGTTAACATTTTGCACTTTTAAAAAAAATGTCACATTTTCATCATCTCTTATTACCCACGAGGAGAAAATTTAAAATACAAAATTTGGAGCCGTTTTTGAGAAAAAAAATTGTTACCACTTTTGATCTTAAGGATGTATCTTACACATTTGTCAGACAAAATTCTCGCAGATGTTTGTAGGGACATACAATACATTTCGTAATGTCACTAAGAATGTCACAGTGATTCACTAGGAAAGTCATTTTGACAATTGTCAAAATGGGCTTCTGTCTGTTGCATGAATTTGCAATTTTTCCTGGAATTAGATATTTGTACCTATAGGCATTTTCACTAGCATTCAGAATTTTCCTTTGTCAGTAGTGAGTGTTTGTGCAGCTAGGAAGTAATACAGCTGTTTAGAAATCACATTCAGATTACAGCGAATCAACATTAGGAATTCAAAAGATGTTGAATTATGGATTAGAATTGAATTCTTGTGATGAGAACGACCATTTTTGTCTTGTGACTGTTGAATAGTTTGAGCAATGATAGCGAAGAGAGATAATGTGCAAAAGATTCTGTTAGGAAGTCTTCTCAAATTCATCTTCAAGACAGAACAATAGATTGTGGGTAGAAAATTGTATTAATAAAACATTCATAATAAACTCTTGGAATAAAGATTTTTAATAGTTTCCAAAATGAAACAATTCCTTTAATGAACTGTTCTAAATTCCATAATAATGTATCATAACATACCTCATTATGGACCCGGTAAGTGTCCCCTTCTGTCACTACAGCAGGCAGCTCATGGCGCTGAGAAAAGGCAGCTGGCGTACGTGGGAATGTCATATTGCGTCCAAATGCAGGGAGGCTGGCAGGGCACGGAGGCTGCATTGGTGCAGGTGAAGGCTCCTCAGCACGCATGTCAGTATCCTCCTCATCTTGTGCACAATAACAGGCTGCATTCTAAAATTGAATGAGTAAAATTTTGTTTTGATCATTGCCTAGAAACGATAACAATTAAATATAATACGAAATTGATGTATTTCATCAATAAAAAAGAGTAGTACTAGTTAAAGGGAGTTTCAACTGTTTTTGATAAGACTAAAAAAATTTTTAAAATACACAAAGTTAATTAGTCACTTATTTAAAAAAATGCAAGCAACAATTAAGTGATGTTGCCCAAAAACCTACAAACAATGTAACTATTTGAATTAATGTGTTTGTGGACTAAAGAGAAAATATTCAATTTAAATGCCTGTTGTTTGGTTTGGTTTTTTAAATTAAACGTAAAATGTTTCATGAAATAAATGTATTGTACACAGACTATAAACTCGTCGGTCCTGCCCCCTGTGGGAAGTACTGTATACTAACACTAATGATTCACCCTCTTGTCTTGCATTAAGATTATAACATGAAGCGTACTTGACAAAATACAAGGAAGGATACTTAAGATACTCGTGTAGATATGTGCCTCTCAGCCACTTGCATCCAACTGCTTTTGCAATTTTGATGCTTTTCTTTATTTGCACTCATTTTCGGAAACTAACCTAATCTACTTCCACACAAAAATAAGGTATGCAGTTCATTGTTGTGAGTTGTAGAGCTTTGTGGTTCTCTCACCAATTGCATTGCCCTTCTCAGCATGCTAATGCTGCTTGACTGTTGAGTAAACTTATTTGATGAAAATATGACATGTGCAACTTTGTTTTTTTCATAAAATATCCAAATTTTACCACGTGAAAGCTAAATTTTATACAATATTTTGTTTTACGAAACGTTTCATAAAACAATTTTAGAAAAAATATCACCCTGTGCAACAGGCAAAAGGACAATAACAAAATTACATGTGTTATGTTAGTGTTATTGAAAAACTATGAATTTAGCACATACAGGACTCTGTTCAAAACCCATTTAAAAGTAGGTCAGCATTTTGTAACTGCAATTTCACTAATTTCATTCACTGGATTTGTGTTTTGTTGAGAATGAAAACATAACTAGTTGCTATTATATTTGCCTAATTGAATTCTGTTTAAAATTTAATCACTACGAAAGACAGACTGAAGATAAGAAAATCAGCATGCCAAATGTAAGTACATTGTTGCCAGTGTTTTGATGGATTCCACATCTTCCAAATTGTTTCAAGCCATACCACATCAACTCTTAACTATAAAGAGTAAAATAAAATATTGTCATTGTAATTATAAAGCAAGCTAAAAAGTATTTAAAGTTTGTATATTTTGTAACTACTGGAATTGCTTGTGAAAACATTAAAAAAAATATTTTAAAGGGAAAAATCATGGTCTTTATATTTCTGAATTTTTAGAAGTAATCCATGCATTTTTGATCTAAAAACATAGCTTCTCAAAACTCACTTAACGCACAAACTTTCTGAGCAACTCAACTCAGTTGAAACTTCTTCAGCAATAGATGTTGACACTTTATCCAATTTTCTCCGGTAACTACACATGAAATTACCTTAAACCATTAATAAAAAGAAATATTTTTTACTGAAAATATGTCATCAAAAATAATACATATGGGTCGCAAATTTTGAAATTAACTGTCAGCAGAAATAATCCACAGAAATCTCTGATCTGCACACTCCATGTCATTCACTCTCTGCACGTAACAAACTGATATTTCGCAAAACACAGACTGTCCCATTTTGTATGTACGGCAGTGTCAACTTTCATTTAGAAGTCACAAGTGCTTAACTTCTTAATACATGGCATTTTAAAATGGAAAATGACACAGGTTGCGGAAACATTTAGGAATCCATAATCAATAAGAACTTCTGAACCTGCTAAAATACCGCAAAGAAAATCTTATGAGTGAATATAAATATTCAATAAAAATCAACTAATATGGTTTTGCTGAATTTGACCTATCTACCATATAAAAAAAAAGATTGTAATCCATTTATAAAGCACAGTTAGCCCAATATCTTTAAAATAAAAAATGCTATCAAAAAGCTAAAGGTAAACTCTCGTGTGCTGAATTATTTGGTGAAAATGTCATCTCAGTCATCTTGAACTGTTAAGAAAATAATCAAGGTAGACATTTTTATTGTATTTTTATTTTATTAACTAACCTGTAGGTCACAAAAATTACAATTATTTAATTCTATTAGGTAATACAACTATGCTACTCACCTCCAGAAGGTCTGCAACAGCATCTGGCAAATTGAATTCGCGTACAACACGTAGTCGCACTTGCCGGTTGATCTCATGGCGCGATGAGAGTGGAAGGGATATGGCACGTTGACAACTGGGGGATTGCCGCAACTTTTGTTCACGTTTTAACATTGCTGACATGGTCGCTGCATCTGGAACTACATGTACAATGACAAAGTACAATAGCATAGAACATAAGATATCCGACATACAACTAATATCAAAGTCTATTTAATCAAAATCTACAATCTCAAAAGCATTACTCATTATGAAAGCATATGTTTATATTAATAACAACTAATAAACAGATAGCATAATAGGCTTTCACGTCCGGAGTCCATTGAATATAAATTTTCCGGGCTGGTAGGCTGTGGTCCAGTTGACATTGCCTACCAGCCCAGAAAATTTATATTCCAATGAACAGATAGGTGAAACCACCAGCACTGATTTTCAGTTAATTCTGGTCACTATTTGAGATATAACTTCACATTTTTGAACACCTTTTCATGAATTATTAATTTAAACTTTATTTCAAAAAACTAATTTTAATCTCTGTTTTCGCTAAACATATCAGAGTCATAAAATCTTGAGATGTTTTACAAAAATACTATTTTTCAAAGTGTGAAATAAATATTGAAAAATAACCAACAAAAATACACATAACTAATGATAGTACTTGCATGCACATGGAGAAAATGGTATAGTCAACACAAAACTTAAAAAACAGATTTTGATGCTCCATAATCTAAACATTTCTTTAAATACACACACTAGTTACGCACCAGGTAGGGCAGCAGCTAATACATCCACACCAGCTGCTCCCATTGGCCGAGGTTTTTCATCCACCATGTACAATGTGTCAGGAATGTCAGGTATGTATCGTGCACGGCGAACCCGCAACAACTCAACTTCCTGCACCAACTGGTCTTCAAGCTGAGCTTTAATTTCCTCATAATAGGGCATGAAAAGTCGAGGCCGGACAAACAATCCATTGTTTTTACCTGGAAAGAACACCCAGCCCGAAACTTTACAAACAAATCAGACTGCTGTAATGGAAGTTTTGGAAACGATACTATTAGATTTTATTTTATAAAAAACTTTGTAAAAGGTTTTCTTCAAAAGTTACCCAAGTTTCTACCCACATAATTCTATCGATCAAAATTTAATAGTATAGAGCAGGAAAAAAAGAGAATTATCAAGATTTGAGAGATGATCTACCAATTAACTGAGGATTATTTAAACAAAAGATTATTTTTTTTTTCAATTTTTAAATGTCTAAACTACAAATACAACTATAAAGTTTAATTTGGTATGTTCAATCTTCCATGCTTTTAATAATCAAGTTCTGTAATAACTAATAATGCTTTTAATCATCATTTCATGTTTTTTATAGCTCATTTTTATCGAACAACAAACTTTGACATTATACAGTATTCAGACAATTTTCCCGAAATGCAAAATAGTAATAATAAAGGAAACCAAAACATATTCATTCACTATAGCTGTGAAAAACTGAAAATGTATTTGTGGATAGAAGAATTGCACATTTATTCCAAATCTTGGCATTTAGTCTAGGATTTAAGGATATCCAAAATTTTAGTTTGTTTAAAACAGTTCTGATGTTAGTTTCTCTATCATCAATATGATACTAAGATTTAGAACCTCCACTTTTGGTTACATAGTCAACAACAGAATCAATTTGTTTTTTTTTTGAACTGCAAATCAATAATCGAGCCAAATCAGAATCTAGGTGAAAAATATAGGTTGGAAGGAAACAGAAATTTGTCAATAACTCAAAATAACTTTGGTTTTTCATATTATTAAAAAGATATAAATAAAACATAATGATTAAAATATCAGCAAAGACTCACCCCCTCGAATCCATGCATTGACACGCAAACTCTCCCTTTCATCACCAATCATGTGACTGGGTGGTGTCGAAACAAGTCCTCGACGAATTGCATGAGCTAGTACTTCACTGCTAGGTGGTAATACATGATCCATTCGCACCAAAGGAAGGAGCTCTGATAAGATTTCACGCAATTCAACATCGCTGAGATCTCGTTTCTTCACACCTTTGCGGGTCACTGAATGTGCTGTGTGGCTCAGCAAGTTGGGTTCTATGCACAAATTAATTTCATGGTTATAAGTAGAATGGCTCATTGAGCTTATAGGTATTTCATATTCATTTACAGTTAGGGAATAAAACATGCAAGTTACATCGCCATTCAAAAACACAACCTTCAACAAAGATACATAGCCAGAGCGAGCCTCTTTTTATTTTATGGTCCCTAAAGAAGGTTACACATTTATATTTGATGTACATTTTGCAATAACATTTTTCCTAATAGCAATTGGAATATTAAATTACCGTTAAAATGAGTTATTATTTGCTATACTAAATCAAATGATGAAAAGTTATAATAACTATATTTATTAAGTTATAGTATCTATAGTTTTTAAATATATGGGCAAATTTTGACATTCTGCCAGAAACACTTACATAAGACTTCTCATTGTTTAGGGGTTACATCTTTGTAAAAACTAAGCTGTATATTGAGTATTTTTACTTCAATGGTGTGTACATATATACAAATATTCAGTGTGTATATAGCATGTAATCGGACTATAATAGACATACTACAAGTGTATGTTGTATAGGCAAGTTGGTGTTCCAAAAGATTTTTCTACAGAACCTGCAGCTTCCATTATTCTCAACAATGGACATATTTCTATATATAAGCTAATCTACTGTCTATTTTCATTCTGAATCCTGAGCATTATGTAAATGGATAATGAATTACCATTTGCTAAAACAGTATTTTATTAAGAATCCAAGACAAGCATGGACAAAGCAAAGTAGTAAATAAATTATGGAACTGTTCTGCTGTTAAATTGAAGTACTATAATCACAATGGGAAGAAATGACAAAGATTTTGGAACACAGCTGTTTACTGTACCCCTCAAAAAATTATTTAAATATTTGTGTGTGTGTGGGTGTGTGTGTGTGTGTGTGTGTGTGTGTGTGGGGGGCAGAACAATGGTTCAAATGGTGATTTGTATTCCTTTTCTTCTTCACCTGTATTTATTTGCTTTTGCATTTTCAACAATACCATCAAGACAAGCAGCATGCATCTATCCATGCAGTTTTGCAAGAAAAAAAAACTATTTAGGAAGAACTTGAATACACTGGCATAAAATAACCGTATTTACCAAATATCAGACGAGTTTCCCCCCAAAAATATCTCGTTCAAAACATATGAAGTTGACATATTTGCAGATTAAGCCTAGTTGGTTAGGATTTTTATTTTTACATTGCCTTTCCAGGTCACCAAACACCAAATGTTAACATAACAATAAGCAGAAACCAGTAAATGTTAACACAACAATAAGCAGAAACCCATAAAGGCTAATATAACAATAACCAGTGAAGACAATGAAAACATCACGTGTATCTGTAATATCTAATTCTATTTACGGAATTTACTGGGCAATTCAGGCCAATAATTTTTAATTGGCCAGCAAAGAGAGAATGAATGGCAATGCATGAAAGGAAATGCAAGGTGAAAATACATGAAAATAATTGCCAAGATTTTGATCCATGATGCAGTAACAGAAAAGACTATGTGAACTCTCAGTTCAATTGGTGAGTGAGATTTCGTAAGACATAGACAAATGAAAAAAAGTCACGTTCATAGAAGTATGAGTTCTACATTCAACCACAGAAAAAGATGATTATAAAAATATTATCTTAGCAAAACCTTCCCAAACTTTGAAACTTGCAACTGTCTTCCACATTACCCAAAAATGAAGACAGACTAGTTCTCTGTTCACAACTTGATCACACGAACATTGAATGATGTGAATTTCAAGTAAATTCTGATACAGAGTGTGAGAGAACTGTTAAAAATCAGAGGTTGGGAACAAGAGCGAGACAGGGTGGAGAAAATTTGGCGACAGAAGGGAATGCTCTAATGGGGTCAGATGAAAGACTAAGAACGCAAATCTTTCTGAGGTGCCGAAAAAGTCAAAGGATGACACAGTTTGGGAGAAGGATCTAAAAGAAAGAAACAATGACACATGTGAAGAACTGGGAAATGGGTAGTGTCAAATATCATAATTATGACAATTTTAAGGAGTGGTAATAGCGATAGCTGAGGCGAAGAAGTTTTAACATTCTCAAGAAGACCATTTTCTAGCAATTAAATAATTTTCAATTTTATTTTGAGTGAACAGTTAGAATTAGTTCGAAATTTTAAAAATTCTCAGGAGACCTCACAAAATATGAGGATGTCTTATAACTTATTGGGTAATTTCGGGAGTTTGAAAATTTCTTCTGGAAATTGAGGTATTTAATTTGCACAGGAATGAACTAGAGGCCTTGCACTCCCAGTCACAATTCTGGGGGTGGCCAATTTTGGGGGTATTACATTCAGAATGAATGCCCCCTCATAGCTCCCTTTGTTAGGTGAAGAGCAAAGTCAGTTTTCAGAACTTGATAAACAACTAGCAGGGTTGGGCAGTATTTAAATACTACTATTCGAAATACATATTTTAAATACATTTTATATTTGAAAAACTGTATTTGGGGTTTTGTGAACACGTATTTTGAAGATGTTACTCACCTCTATCCTCCATTCGACGGATGAGCTCATGTTCCCCCCATTTAAGAACAGCCTGCAAGACTTCCAACTCACTGGCCTAGACAAAACAAGAATAATTTGTATATTAAAACATTTCATGGTATATGTAAAACTTGCCTAAACATGATTGTTATTTCACACATTTTACATCTGAGAAAGGTTTTATGAAACAAAATTGGATGACACAACATGACATTCAAACTTATGTTGCTTATTGGATCAAAAGCCAGGATTGGAAATGGCACAAATAAGATTTTTCTGATAAAACTCAGGAGTAACACGATTGGATAGACAAAGAAATAGATGTAAGGAAAAAAAAAAAAAAAAAAAAAAAAAAAAAAAAAAAAAAAAAAACACACACACCTCTACTTTATCAGATGTTCAGTTATGGCTCTTCATAAAGAACTTTAATGTTTTTTGATAGCTCCCATAAAGGCATCCTTAGTGGTATGAATGCATCTCACATTAAAGACTTTAGTTTTAAAATAATTATAACACTTATCACAACAGTAATGTGAAATAGATGAAGACTATAATTTCAGAAGACTATAATTTCTTCACACAATGAAATTGCATGAAGAAATGAGCTAATTGCAAAATAACAAAGGAAAGCAGAAACACCAATTGACATCACTAACTAGGTTTCGTTGCCAGCAGAAGCTGTGATCCCTTCTTAGGCTTACGTCTCTATACATATTCTCATAAATGTGTAATAAAATACTGAGTATAGGATTTAAAGTGACAATAAAAAGAACTTCATGACTTTAGAACCTAGAAATAAGAACTTGTCTACTAAAATAATTCAATGATAAAACATTTATGTAAGTTAATAAAACTAAAATATATTTGTAAATACTCAATATTGCGATAATTCTAACATTCTCATGACAAAACTCAAAAATACATGAAATATATATTTAAGAAGAGCACATAAAAGGAATAAAAGTTCTAATTTTGTGGAATATATTGTCACTTTATACTTTTATAAGTGATACAGCAAAAATTATTCTGCGAGAGCCAGGATTAAAACTTAAAATAAATTTATGATGCCAGTGCACAACGAACTGAGCTGACTGCCACCACACACAGTGGTAAAACACTAAAAAAAATCCCTGCTGTGTGCGAGTGGTGTGCGGTGTGTGCGAGTGGTGTGCGGTGTGTGCGAGTGGTGTGCGGTGTGTGCGTGTGGCGTGTGCGTGTGATGTGCGCGTGCGCGTGTGATGTGATGTGCGCGTGTGGTGTGATGTGCGCGTGTGCGTGTGATGTGCGCGTGTGGTGTGGTGTGCACGTGAGGTGTGGCGTGCGCGTGTGGTGGTGTGCGCGTGTGGTGTGGTGGTGTGCGCGTGTGGTGTGGTGGTGTGCGCGTGTGGTTGTGGTGTGGTGTGCACGTGATGTGTGGCGTGCGGCGTGTGGTGTGTGTTGCGCTGTGTGTGTGGTGAGTGGTGCGCGTGTGTGGTGTGTGGTGTGCGCGGTTTAGGCTGTTGGTGGTGGCGCGTGTAGGTGTCGGTGGTGTGTGCGCTGTCGCTCGTGCAGCGTGCGCGTGTGCGTGTGTGATGTAGCGGCGTTGTGGTTAGGCGTGCGGCGCTGTGGTTGTGGTGCGCGTGTGAGGTGATGGCGAGCGCATGAGGTGTGGCGTGTTTCGCGTGTGGGGTGAGTTTTGAGCGCCCGTTGTGGTGTAGGTGGTGTGGCGTCGTGGTGTGGTTGTGTGCGCGTGTGGTGTGGCGTGTCCGTGCGCGTGTGGCTAGTGGTGGCTGTGGCGCGTGTTGTGGTTGTGGTGTGCGGTTGTGGGTGTGGTTAGTGTGCGGTGATGGTGTTTGGTTGGTGTTGCGCGTGTGGTGTGAGTGGTGTGCCGCGTAGTGTGTGGTGGTGGTGCTGCGATGTGGTTGTGCGCGTGTGTGTGCGCGTGTGTGTGGCTGGTTGTGCCGGTTGTGGTGTGCGCGAGTGGTGGTGTGCGCGTGTGGTCGTGTGTGCGGCGTGTGGGTGGGTGGTGTGCGCGTGGTGGTGGTGGTGTGCGCTTGATGGTGTGGTGGTGTGCGCAGTGTGGATATGGTGGTTGCGCTGTTGTGGTGAGTGGTGGATGTGCGCGTGTGAGTCGTGGGTGGTGTGCGCGTGTGGTGGCTTGGTGATTGTGTGCGCGGTGTGTGTGGATGTGCGCGTGCTTGGTTGTGGGTGGTGTGGCGGCATGTGGTGTCGGTGGTGTTGCGCGTGTGAGTGTTTGGTGTGCGCGGTGTGGTGTGGTGGTGTCGCGTTGTGGTTGTGGTGTGTGCGCGTGTGTGTGCTGGGTGATGTTGCGCTTGGTGATGTGGTGTGCGCGTGTGGTGTTGGTGGTGTGCGGCGTGGTGGTGTGGCGATGGTGTGCGGTGTGTGGTGGGTGCGTCGTGGGATGTCGGTGTCGTGCCGAGGTGGGGCGTGTGATTGACGTGGTGGCGCGTGGGTGTGTGATGCCTTGTGATTGCGCGTTGGGTGGTGTGTGCGCGCTGTGTGTGGTGCTGTGAGCTTGTGAGCGTGCTGCTGCGGTGTGCGCGTGTGTGCTGTACCGTGTGTTGTGTGCGCGTGTGGTGTGGTGGTTGGTGTGCAGTTGTGGTGTGGGTGGCTGTGCGTGTGTGGTGTGGTGGTTGGTGCGCGTGTGCGGTGATGGCGCGTGTGTGGCGTGCGCGGGTGGTGTGCTGCCGCTGAGTGTGGCGTGCGCGTGAGGTGTGGCTCGGCTGCTGTGGGTGGTGTGCGCGTGTGTTGTGGTGGTCGGCGCGGTGTGGTTTGGTGGTGTTGCGCGTGTGTGTGGTGGGCGCGTTTTGGTGGTGTGCGCGTGTGTTGGTGGTGTGCGGTGTGGTGTTAGGTGGTGTGCGCGGTGTTGTGGTGTGTGCGGTGTGGGTGGGTCTGGTGGGTGTGCGCGGTGTGTGGTGGTGTGCGGGTGTGTGCGTTGGTGTTGCGCGTGGTTGTGGTGGTGTGCGCTGTGGTGGGCGCGTGTGTGTGTGCGCGGTGTGTGTGGTGGTGTGCGCGTGTTGTGGTGGTGTGCGCTGTGGTGGTGTGGGAGACACGAGGCTTTGGTGTCCTCCGGTCTTAAGAACGGAGACCCAAATCTCAGGGCAAGCAGAAGCGCGCTGCGGAGGTGGCGTGACGTAGTAGGTCACGAGCGCCTTGAGAATATAAGGGAGAGCACAGAGCCAGTGGGTGGGTTCTGGAGACAGTGGGAGAACCTCGTGCATAGACAAATTCTGCCAGTAGTCCCCTAGTCACTGACCTGATCATATCTCTTCTGTGGTTGGCCTCTTTCTGTTTCACTCCTCGGTCTATACTTAAGTATTTATTTCGATGTGCCTGATAGGTTTCATTCTATTTATGTGACATTCTTTACCAAGGCTTCAATGACGTTTTCGGTTTTATATTCTTTATTGTGTCTTTATTTCATATTTTGTCTTTCCTTGGCACTTTTAATATTAGTCTCAGGTATGTCATTTGAGCTGTTTCAATTCTTTGTCTTTTGTTAATACCCAGGTTTCACTGCCATAGAGTAGAGTAGGTTTGGCAATGATATTAACAAGTCTAATTTTTGTTTCTGCGGTCATGCATTGAAAGTATCTTTTTATACAGCCATTGGGTTTGTTGCAGTTTGCTATCTTTGATTCAAAATCCTGTTCCTGTATTGAGATTTTGTTACATAGGTAAGTAAAGGTTGACATTTGTTCAATTATTTTGTTGTCAATCACTATGTTTGTCCTTTTATAGTCCTTTTTGCATCGTGTATTTTAACATTTGATTCTTTATGTAGGCTTCTAACTCTTCTTGTTGTGTGTTCTTTAAAGTTTTCTTCCAAAAGAATGTCCCACAGCATCTTCCTATTTATTCTGTCATACACTTTTTCTTAATCTATGAACAACATGAATGTTTCCATGGCCTGTTCGTTTCTTTTAATTACTACCAACTCTAAATAATACATCAACTGTCCCTCTCCCCTTCCTAAACCCACATTGCCCCTCTCCTATTACTTCCTCAGTGTTCAATTAATTTATATTTGAGTATACGCTTGCATTTATTTTGTATGCTGCAGTTCCACCTGTATGCTGCTTTCATCACTGTTCAAAGTTGCCACTGTTCCATTTTAATTATTTCAAATAAAATAACAAAACTTACAAATTTATGTAATGAAACATTGATTTCGAAACGTAAATTCAAATTTAAACTCAACAAATGCATGCAAATAAGTACAAAAAACAAAACAAGTACAAAATAAAGAAAACTAACAATAAAATACAAATTTCATTTTCAAGTACTGACAGCTCCAATTTCATAACAACAAAGACTTACAGTAAAATACAAATTTGTTTTGCAACTCTGCTACATGATGGTTACTATATTATCCAAACATAATAATATTAATGAAAATTTATTTACTGGTAATGACTATATGAGTTTGACAACTTAAAAGCGGGTGAGGAAGTAATCGTTAGAAGTTGTGTGTATCTACTTGGCAGTACAACATGAATTTTGGTTTGACAGTTTGAATTATGCAGATCAATATTTTATACAATAATTAAAATCTAAATTGGAACCAGTACAAGCCCAACATCTGCCTTAACTGGAAAATTCTGTGGTCTGTGAAGTTAACTGGCATTTTACATAGCATAAAATGAAACCTGTCCAAAGCAGAAACAGAACAGTTATTCATGTCCTGTAGGGAAAGGTCTTTTATAAAACGAAATTCCTGTGAATTTAATGCAACTGGCAGAGAGACGCAAGATTTTCTTAACGAAATAAATGCACCTTCAAGCGTATTTTAAATTCCCTATTCCTGTGACACATGATTGAAACTAGCTAACACGTTGAAAATCACTACCCGTCAATTAGAAAAACATTGCATAAGGCCATGCAAGGGTATCAGAAAGTCATAGTACTCTGGGCATTCTGGGCTCTCTCTACGCATTGTACATTGAAAGAGTCCGCATGCACTCCCTAAGCAGCAAGATGATGTGCATTTTTTAGTTTCACAAACAGTTTAACAATAGTTGAAGACACCATAAAACTCTAACCTTCAATAAAGGGGTCAAACTCATAGAAGTGAGGGAAACTCAGAAGCTGTCAATAAATAATTTTTAATATTCATTTATTTGCAATTTCCTCCACAAATACATTATATGGTTATGTACTTTAATAATTATAATAAAGGCATATAATTTACTACTTTCAGGATAGAAATTTCAACATCACAGGGGTGATAAAATGGACAACCTTGCATAAAATGGAAATCACTGTAAACCAGGATTTCCCCCCCCCCCCCTTAACAATTCCAGCTTAGACAGATTTTACTGTATTAACTAAATTAAAGAATATTATTCTTTAAAACACACACACAAATAAATTTAAAAATACTCACCTGTTCATGTTAAAAAATTTTTTTTTCCAACATGCCAATGCGGACATGCATTTCATTACCAAAAAATATTTCTTCCTTAATGTAGGTGTGAGAGTGAAACATTTTAAACTTATTTTAAAAAATTCTAAGATTTTAATGAAAATCAGACCGGCATAACTTTTATAAATTTATTATTCAAGTAAAAAATTTGGAACCAATTTTGAGAAAATTCCTACTGGGTTTCATGTAAAGTACCCCACAAATTCAAAGATTCATTCAAGTTCAAGGGACTGTGACAACACCTATATCGATAAAGGAATATCCGTTTTGCTGAAAATCCATTGTATGGTTTAGGTGGTAGTATTGTTCAGACAGACAAACTGAAAGATAATTTTAAAAAATAACACTTTCTCAGTGTCAAGGATTCCAAAACTTTTATTTTGACTATACCATGAACACAACAAAATAATATACTATGTATTGGTGAAAGAAAAACAAAACACTTTCTAAGTATCGAGGAAATACAACACTTACACACTACAGCGAAAATATCAACACTTTGCAGTATTACATAAATTTCTCTATTCAGAGCAGACCAGAAAGTAAAATCAAAGTGATCTTACCTGCAAGAAGTGACTCTGCAAAGCATCTATGAGATGGGCCTTGTCAAGTTGGTGCAATACTGGTGACTGTGCAACAGCTTGGAACTCTTCACGTAGGAAGTGCAAAGCCTGGCGATGGACCCAGGCAGAACCATGTGGCTGGGAACCCCACCTCAGCACCGCAGGCAAGGTTTCTAGCGACAGCCACTCAAGAATTAAGTCTTCACAGCCTTGGGCCAATATGTCCAACTCCAGAAAACGACCAATCTGGTAAAGTTCCATTGCTTCTTCCAGTGGGCTAGGTCGTGCTCGGCCAGTATTAGTAAGTGCCTGCACCTGTAAAATATTTTTATTTCCCGAGGGCGGCTCATAAAAATTCTTCACTAAAGTATTGAGATAACCTTGCACAAAATAAACCCTATCATTTCTCACAAATGGCCAAACCCAGATAATGTAGAATCAAAGAACAACTCTCACATTAGAACATTTCCTGAATATTTCATTGGCAAAAGACTTGTGAGGTAAATTACAAAAGGAATTGTTTAAAATGTTGGTTATTCAATAGCAAATTTCCTTAACAATTGTTTACCCCTCCTCATTTTACTTAAGTAAACAACAACAACACATACATGCACACATAAATATATTCTTAGAAAATTATCGGACTACTGAGCAGCATTGCAAATAAGTTGCAAATGTTAAAGAACTAATTTTACATTCAGTCTAGAAAACATCATAAATAAATTGTATATAAAACTTTATTTCGACAAGACCCTGTAAAATTCCACAAGAAAAAAGTAATGAAATCCTATATAAAAAGGTCATAGTTGATGCATGAAAATAGTTGAATGATACATTAACAGCTGAGCTCAAAGAAAATCTTCCTTTCGCACACTCTGTGAGGAACATGAATTCTCTTAAAAAATCCATTTGAATTCTGGGAAATGTTTATTTTAATTTCAATGAAACAAATATAAATATTCCAAAAGAATAAAGAAGTATTCTTTCAACATAAAAATTCGTGAAGTAAATGAAATGCACTAAAATTAGTAATTACCATGCAATGAAACTGATCCAAAGGACTTGTCATCAGTATATTTTCAACGCTACAAATAATTTTCAACTTCACTGAAAGCAAAAATCTGTCCTTAGGGAATCGCAACTATTTTTACATGATCTCCAAAAATAACTACATAAAGAGTTTATCAAATGTATAACTTATAATATTTTAATTCTGGTCAAGAATGGAGCCAAGTGCATACATCTTCATACAATATTTAGAAGAGATATCATTTTAAAAAAAATAATAAAATAATGAAAATAAATAAAAACAACCAAGAGGAAAATTGATTCCATCTCTAGGCTCAGACAGACATGATTCATTGGATACTACCGTAAAGTAGGAGAAATAATTATGTTGATTTAAATCAATAAGCCAGATAATGATTAAAAGCCTAGTGTTTGTGTTGCATTTGCGTATTGTGTACAATGATGCCCGTAAATTATTAATTTAAAAACAAAATATATCCAGCCTTGTCCAATTTTGTACAATATATGAAAAATATTTCTCCTAAGTAAATAAAGCCTACTTTTAAAAAGTCTTATGAAACAAATGTGCACTTACTGAATACATGAAAAATATGATGGTATTTTATCAAGAGGAACTAAATAAATTTAACACAACAAAAACATAAGGAGTAATATGCACAATATTTGTTAGTAGTAAATGAAAAATTGCTAAAATCTCTCATAAATGATTTATTAGAAGCATCAGTCTTTGCGAATAAGACTTTATCCAATTAAAAATCAATACCAATAAGGCCTATTTTATTGCTTTCTACATCACAAAACATTGTTGCTCACTGCTGGAATCTATTCTTTTCCGCATAAAAGACATCATATTTTTATCAAATTCTTCGAAACAAAAATGTTGGTTCTCCACCCTCATATCTAACCGCAAGACCATTATTAATAATTAGTTAACTTAGTGCCCACTACTTTTCAAATTTTCTCTTGCCTTTTCACTGATAAGTTTCTTATATTTTAAATTTCTCCTGTGCGACTTCACAAGAATCGAGTAAGAAAATGTGGAATAGCTAATTGAACTAAAATAGTTGTACTAAAGATTTCTTGTTATTAAATGTGAAGGGAATAGCTGTTAAAAATAAACAGTAAAGTTAAAGAACAAAAATTCTCTAGTTATTTGGTGAAATACAAAACTCAACGCATAACTATTGAATGGTTAATGAAGAAAACTAGAAATAACTATTTTCATTAATGGTTAAAGCAGGGTACACAGTACACCCTCAGAGAAGCGCTGCGCGCAGGGGGGGGGGGGTATCTCCTTAAGCCCTCCCTCAAAGTACGCTGCACGATCTGATAAAAATGAATAAAACTTATGGATATGAGATTTTCATGGCCTGCCCTTCATACATTTTGTCACCACCGCATTGTAAAATTGTGAAACAACTGAAGTGTGCATAGATCCAAAAACTTTAAATTGGTGAAAAAGCCTCTTATCTTTAACCATAATTCTATGATACACAGAATTGCATTTTCTGTGGAAGATGGCAATATTTACTTCCTCAACGATACTCTTGACCTGATCAATCAGTTATGTTTATACACAATTTTAACAAATTTTCTTAATAGCTAATGTTATTAAAGATACTTTATGTTCACATGTTTCTCATAATCGTAAATTAAAATGATCACTAATTTACACATGAATACAACAAATAATCCACAAAGTGACAATTTCCCCTTATTTCATCTCAGAAGTATATGTATCTCCTTACCTCACCAAGGCTGCCTGCACTGCTATCACATCCACTGCCACGCAGAATGAGTGACAAATCCACTGTATCCAGGTAGACTGCATGAAGCAACACCCGAGCATATCTCTTAGGAATAACACATTCATCCAAGACAATACGTGTTGGTATGTGCAGTGCACGTTCTGTATGCTCTTCTCCTGATCGTGTACGCCTTTGTATGAGATTCCTGAAGAATGGAGAGCGTGCACTCAAAATTGCTTTATGGCACGGTAGCTCCAATTTGGGCCGAAACCCATACTCTGAGCTGCCTGAGTCGGGACGCTGATAATCTCCATCTGATGTAAACACCAATGCAGCATCAGCATAATCACCAGTTTCCAACAAGTAGCGTAAATCATGATCCAATGGATTAGGTGTACCAAACTCGTCTCCAAGACGCCGCAATAGACCGAGATCTATACTAGTGTCATGAGGACAAATATCACCGGTATACAAATATCTAAGTAGTGCCGAAAACATCTGCACATCTACCCCTGGAGTTCTCAGGTCCAAGCATATCCGTGCACCATAGCCCGGACAGCCAGCCAGTAAGTCACGAAAATATGGGCACCTTGCTGATAGAAGAGCCCGATGCACAGGAAAGCACACTCCACGAAACACTAAATCTGCATCTGTACAGTACTTGAAATCGTAAAGAGTTGAAAGGTCCTGTTTATATGTCGCTGCAGGGGGTCGTGCCAACTCGGCCTGCACCGAGAGGTCCTTGAGAGCAGCAAGTGCTTCGTATTCCTCCAAAAGAGCTCCCACTTCCAAAGGACCCCAATCTGCCACAAGTTCTCGTAGTACACGTCCATGGTCACAAGCTTTAGAGGACCGCCGACGGCGTATGAATTTCTTCCGAAGAGTTGCAAAGCCTGTCACCTTTTTCTTTCTCTCTCTGGAAAGAGAATATATCATTCACATGCAAGTTCATTCAATGAAAGTTGAAATAATTGATAAGATAATGTCAAGAAAGAATAATTTTCTAAATTAATCAGAAAAAGAAAAATACATATTAATTATTAAATCATGAACGAAATAAGCATATAGACAATTTGCTAAAAACTACTATAAAATGAATACGTAATGAAAAACATTCATAAAATTCCTGTATTCAACATTAACTGTATCCATCATTAACTTTCTTGTACAGAAGTGATTTCTTTTTATATAATGACCAATGATTTTTTTTCGTTCAATTTAATGGGGGGGGGGGGAGAGGAAGCTATTTACTACTCGGGCGCAGAAATGTAGACTTTTAACAACAATCACAAACCTCACGACAACTGCCAGCTGATCAGAGGTCCCAGATGGAGCTATGCCACTGGGGTGGAAACTAGGTGACAGGCGGGATGACGTGCTCATAGAACTGACACGGTTTTGAGGCTCTCCTGTTAAATTGGAGGCAGATGCTCCCATTCTTCCGGTCATACGGTCATCTCCCGTCCAACAACTCCTCTGCAGCGCACAAGGTATTAAGACTCGAAAGACGTTCATTGCTGCCCCAGCTCAGAGGCTGGAATATAAACAAATCCATTTGTCAACTCTCAACCCATCTGCAATTCTTCAAGGTACTCCTATTACTGGCTATGATAAATTAATAATTTAGCAAGACTATAAATGTACAGAAACTCAAACACAGATCTACAATATGTACAATGACAACCAGTGACCTGTAAATCTCACTCATTTCATCTGTTGATTTAGGGAAAGATACTGTCAAGCACACAAGCCACATTTGTACTAATAGTTATTATATACACACAATACACTTACCTGAGAATGAAGTGAGCATTTTGTAAGAAAACCTTGTATCAGTTACAAGTGACACAAAACGCGGAACATAAACACAAATTTACATGTTCAGGCGCCATGTTTACACACACTGAGCATTAATTTCACGAACATAAACGATAGTTCTAAAGTCTCTAATACGAATAAATACAATGTAATATCTACAGAAAAGCACTATTGCAATTATTCCATAATTTTACTTCCATCAAACACAGCAATAAACTCATTTCTTGGGCAAAGTGTTTTTGGGTTGTGACTACACCGCCTCCTAGATACAGTACTGACCATCAAGTTTGACCATCATATTCCCTGATCTCTTGCAACTATTTTGAACAAGAACGTTTCTTAATAATAATCACGAAAAAATAAGGAGTGTCATATGTTGATTTAAATACTCGATAATGGATGCGTACGTTAAAAATATATAAATAATATTCTTTATTTTTAACAACCATCCTCTCCTCGACCAGGCATGGAGATCGTCAGCTGTTCCAGCCCTGTCTATACATCTGCTCTGTTCTCTGTGCAATGAGAATCGCAGGCGAGAGTCGAATCAAATTCGGTCGGGTCCAACCGAGTCAGGTCTGAACTTGGGTCAACGAGCACGGATATCGCCGTTTGCAAGAAGCCATTTTGGGAATTCCTGTGGATACTGGAACCTGCGCCGAGGTTTTGTGCGTTAAAGCAAGCATCGAACTTTAAGAAATTTCAGAATGTTTCCCGTAAGGTCCATTGTTAAAGCTGCTCCTGCAGTTAGCCGAATGGTTGTCTCTTCAAGAACTACCATGGTTTCTGGTCCACCAAGGAATAGAATCCCATTTGCCGTACGTACCTAATTCAATTTTTGTATGAAGATTAATTGGGGGCTGACAAGTGATTGACAAATAATGTGTATCTATATGTAATTGCCACCTTATTGTGTGTCAAATTATGTGTATCTAGTATCATCCACCAATTGTTACAGGAAAAGATTGGATTGGGTTCCATCATGATCGGAGCTATCATTTCGGGTCCAATTTGGGTGTTGGTGCACATTCAAGATTATCAGAAGAGAGATTAAACATGTTTGTGACGGTGATTGTGGACATTAGTTGCTCTTGTAATTATTTCGTATGTGATGTATAGAAATTGTTAAATAAATTATAATGGTGTACAAGTGTTAAGTTTGATTGCTTTGGAGAACAAGCATACTGGCAACATCCCTTAATTTATATTACACTAATTTTAATAGTGGTTGTTAAATAAATTATTTATAATACTGTTAATTTTGTGTGTTTTTCCTATAGTAAGGTTATGAAGGGAGAGAGGAAAGATAACATGTATTGTGACATTGGTTTATTTCATTGAAGCAATTAATGAATAAATACATTTATTTGGAGTAATTTTTTCATTAGAGATGCATTGTAGTTACTTTTCAGACTTATTACAGACCACACTAGAATGGAATAATGAAACTGTACAAGCTCTAAGGGTAGTAGAAGCATTGTGATCAAAATGTGAAATTCCAAATGTAATTGATCACAAGAGAGCAGGATTTAAAACTTACATTAAAAATGAACACATTTCTCTAATTTAGTAAACTTTGAGTAGAAATATGACTGTCGGGAAAGGTATAATACCAAAGCTTGTGGATTAAATCTGAGCAATGTAAGAAAAGTTTTAAGGGGAGGTAATGACGTTGCAGAGAAATGGAGATTTTCTGCTAAAAGGAAATACAGCATTTTCAGTTCCCAAATCACTTAGCTTGCAGCAATTTTTTTATTAGAAGAGAGAATTTTCTCTTGGTCATACTGAAGTTTAATATTGCAAACTTTGTTGTGCCAATAATGGTTAAGAGTAAAGATTATTATTAGATACTTGTGTGTATATTACTTATTAAAATATTAGTTTTTTGCTGGTGCACAATTACACAACTTTCACTTCTTATGAAGAATTCATCAGGCAAGAAAGTAAAAAGATAAATCATTTTTGAGCTGGTGTCTGTCTTCTGTAATTCAGTTACATAATTTTGTATCTTGAGATGTGAATAGGTATATTATAGAAGGCAGATGTATAGTACATCTTAATCAATGAATACAAAATTTGCTTGCTTGTCTTCTATGCAGAAATTAAAAGATATACAATTAAAAATAAAGAAAGAAAAATAGTTGGTATGCTCATGAGTTGTCAAATACTCAACCAAAAGAGCAATGGGACTACTGTACCCTAAGACTCACTTCAAATACTGTTGTAAGTTATTACTAAGATATCAGACATAATAGTTCACAAAAAATCAGCTGCCACCATTATCAATAATTAATCATATAGCAATCACATTTTACATAAACTAGAATGATGAAGAATGTTGAATTACATTGGAAGGATTGAAGGTTTCATTCTTTTCTAGGTAATATTCATTACCTAGAAATTTGGAAAGAAAATGTATGAAAAGCATGAAAAATTAATGGAAAATTGTGGGATTATAACAGTTTTCAATATGTCAAAGTTCCAGAGAAATTAAGATAAACTAAATCAAATCCAGTAACAAAAATCTCATGAGATACCAAGCAAGTTATAGGACAAGAACACTTGAAAGTATTTTCATTGATGAATATTTACAAGTCATTTTATCACAAAACTTGTACACTTACAATACGGATCAAATACGATCACTTGCTTTCAATACCTAGATGAATTCAAATTCAACTATGAATATCAAATGTGAAAACATTTTTTTAAATGCTACATTCGAAATAATGTATTTTATTTTTGTTAAATTTACATTTAGCTTGATTTATATTAATTTGTGAACACGTTTATATTTTTTTGTTTAAGTGAAGAGTATTACTAATGTTTATAGTTAAAATATTATGCAGTTAACTTAATTTGCCACTTAAAAACTTGTTATGTAATAAAAATTATGGAAACTTGCACATCTTATTTAGTTTATTAGATAAAATAATCCAAAGTTAAGTCTTTTTCTAAAGTTCAATTAGCGCTAGAAGTTGCTTCTATTGATTTGTTAATAAATAAGTTGGTATATTTTTTTATTATTGACAGTTCGTAAAAACAGTTCAATTAGGGAAAAATTTGACAGAAATTAAGGAGAAATGCTTTGTTTTAAATTAGTTATTTCAATTGATTTAAATAATTGATAGGCTACTCTTCGGGGAAAAACAGTATTATTAATGAATTAATGACTGATAAATCGAAAATCAAGTTTTCTGACAATTACAATGTTTAATTTATGTACAATTATTTTTATTATGTACAATTTATTTCTGAAGCCAACTGTGTAATGTGGTAAATATACATTGTCATATAGTCAATATCATTATTACATCAGTATGTACTGAGATCTGTATGTAACTTATCATAATTGGGATCTTTGTTAATGAGTTAAAGACTTGACATGAACTAACTTCATTATACAAGGTGGAACAACTAAGTGTTGACACACCTTGTATCTCCTCAACCTTGCAAGATACAAAGATGCTGTTAGGACAGTCGATTGCAAAAAAGAGGGGCTACTTGATTACACCTTACTTTGCACACTTTTTTATTACGAAGATATAAGGTCAACATTGCTTTGTTTTTTAATGAAACCCTAAGCTAAATTTGAGCGTATTGTAATGTGCATAACAATGCGATTTCAAATGTGTACATCTGCGTATGTAAGTGAATCAAGTTTTAGAAAGTCATTTATTTGAGCACAATTCAACTACTTTCTTTGATATTAATTTTGCCAAAAGATTACTCCATCCAACGAAGACTCAAATGCTACATACAGGGTTCTTGTATGTGATGATTTATTAAAAATTAATTATGATTAATAAAATATGGTTCAATTATTTACTTAAAATTTATAATGGAATATGTTGTCACAGTTGTCAAAATATGCGTAGCACAATAGTATTTGAGTGACAAAACAAAAACTTTCTGGAATCCTGTACGTAAAAAATTGTATTAAAATTAGTGGTGCTAAAACTGCACGTACTGCCCCCCCCCCTCGTATTTTCACTAAAAATTACGCAAAAAAGTACTCAAATGTTCGAAAAATTGTATGACCTTATTTCGAAATCTGTCTTTATGGTGCAGATTTCATTAAAAGAAAACTCTGTCTTAAATATTTTTGAAAAACAAGGGTTTTTAACGAATATGAGAGCTGCACCATCCTCTTAAACGTCGTTCACACTATTCAACAACAAAATTTAATTAAACACGTTGGAGTATTTTTTTTTATTTGAAAAATGCCCCAGGGGCTTCATGTAAAGTACCCCCAAAAATTGAAATATCGGTTTTGAATTCAACGGGTCGTGGCATCGCCAGATCGATTGGGGAATATAAATTTTGGAAAAAATTGGCTGAACGGTTTAGCCGCTAGCGTTGTTCAGAGACAGACGGCCAGACGTTTTGCCGTCTTTTGTTTTTTTTCTGTTCCAAGGACCCACAAAACATGGAATCTGGCTCCACCACAAATTATAGAGGATTTTTTTCTAAATTTAGCAACTGGATTTATCCACTTTTTTGATGCCAGGGCTCTGTAATAAGAGTTTTTCTGCCGAAATTAGCTGTATTTGTGCAACATTATACATTCTCTCTACTCCGTAAGGAGAAAGTAAAATAATTCGCCTGTGATATATCACGATACTACTCCGCAATGCAGAACTGTCTACTGAATTGCCTACCGCTAGGGGCTGATCGGTTGCCCTCTTTTCGGCACTGACGAGGGGAAGCTAAAGATGTATTCTATACGTAATATACACATAGATAAATCATACTGGATGTTTATATATTTGTAGTATGTTTTCCTATGCATTTTTAGTACTATTTATTACATATAGTAGAACCTCACTAATCGGAACCCCGCAAATCCGAAATTTCGTATAATCCAAACAAAATTTGGCATAGAGGAAAAATAAATAAAATGGTTATTTGTAGTGTAAAGAAAGGATTTTATAATAACTGTATAACTGAACAACTAACTATTGAAACACAAGTTGACGAAATGGAATGTTTATTACACTGGTAACTACGGTGTATATCATGTGTTTATGTAACAGTAATTTTCACTTATTGTTAAAGGAACTTGCTAAAACTAATCTTCTTTTGCCGTAAGGAACTGAATCTGCTTGATGATGCGATCGTTACGCTACGTTGCTATTTTGCTACTTTATATCATTGCATTGTCTGGTATTCCTATATATGTATTTGTATATGAACGGAACGTTTTTCGGATAATCCGAACATTTCCCAATTTGAACAGAACACACACCCAATTAATTCAGACTACCGGGGTTCTGCTACACTAGATTTGAGTTTGTTTGAAATTTAATATATTTTTCATTAAATGAAAAATATCATATAGATTATTAGTACGATGAAGTACAACTATTGCATTTTCAATTCATTATTTTTGTGCACAACTGCCTGGCATATGTTTAAAACAAAACACATTTTTTAAATTAATATTTTCTCCTTACAGTGAAAACACGTCATAACTTTTTCTTTAAATAATTCAACAGTTACTCCGAGGAATACGTTGAAGTGAGGGAATGAAATGCTATATATTTTAGCAGACGGGAGTTCTTAATATATTTAAAGACAATCAATTCAATAAAATTTTCATAATAAAACCAAATGTTTCTCAGCCCTCCGTTTTGTCAGCCGTAAAGAGAGCTGCCAACAAGAGAGAAAAGACTTGGCGTGAGGAACAAATACGCTTTATGAACACTGAAATCATGAGAGGGTTCTGCTACATCAGTGGCGGCATAATCCACTCCCGGTAATGATGATAGTGATGAAAATGTTTAAGGGAGATTTAACAACTAAGGTCAATCACACCCGCGTCAAATTATCACAAGAAAGTGTATATATTGTGAGCACCATGAGATGAGGAAGACCAAGGTTTTATGGACTTCTTTATTCTCGTGAGCTGAAATTCCAAATCCTTCGTCCCTAGTGACTGTAAGAATGTCTTAATTCTGGTTTCCTCGTGTCCAACTTTGTTGCCTGATCAGCTATTTCGGTTCCTGTTATTTCCTCGTGGCCAGGGATCAACGAAAAACCAAATTGTAACGACACAGCATTAGATGATGTATTTTACGTTGGATTTTTGTTGGCAATGGTTAGCAAGAAGAAGAAGATGAGATGGATTGGAGATCACTTTCGGAATCGCTTCATATCACGACTTCCCCTAATGACGCTGCTTAAGTGTATTTCAGTTCCCTTAATGCTCCAAGACGTATATTTCTCTGCTATATATCCACGGCATGAAATGTCGAAACGAAGATTGCTCTTGGTGTTACGACGGTAGAAAGTACATCCTACTTTGCAATTTGTGAGGAACGATCTATCTACTTAGACGGTGGCCGGGGAAGAAGGATTTTATCTCCTGAATGATGATAGAGATGTACAAGGGATAGTTGTTGTTTTAGGGAGATTGGAGTCATCGCCGGAGGTGACAGCGATCTTCCACTGGCTGGAGAGATTCGGCGCCGACCTACATCGGCATCCAGGTATCTCCCTCCAGTGGGGCACCGTCCCATCTAGGACAAGCTCTAAGCTTCCGACAGGTCTCCCGTCAAAAGTGATAATGCAGTGTGTGTAAGTGTAAGTAGGGGAGGTTTTCACAATTTTCGATTTTTAATTTTTGTTTACAGTTTCCTTTTCTATTATTTACGCATCCCATAATATGAACCCTTGGCAATATTTTCCTACAAATTGGAGGTGATAGCAGTATTTGGCTTGTCAGAAAAAGTTTTCTGTCAGAGTAATTTTGTGAGACAATCTGCCCCGACTCGGGGTTGGTTGTCACAGACATTGAGGTTGGTTGTCATGGGTTAGCGTAGTGAAAAAATAGACGTTAATTGGCAAGAAAAATATATTAAAATAAGAATCAATATACGTTATTGTTAAAGCAATAAAACATATTAAAGACGAATTTAGACGCAAATATATCCATACAAGGGAATATTTACGAAAATGTCTGATAAGAACTTGGTCACTTTCGAGCGCACTGTCACAATTTTAATATGAATAAAAGTTATTTGGATCATGGGTACATAATTAATGAGCCCACTTCTTTATTCTATACACAGGTTCCATTTTCCTCAACTTTATTGTTCGGAAACAGTTCAAGACTAAACAGAAACAAATATCATTTTCTTCGTTACTATTGAGATTTTTCGTTCCTCCGGCTTTTTACTTATTTGCATGTTTTTTTACATTCTCATTACGTTTAGATGTTTCTAAATAGACTTTTCTATGATTTTCTTTTTGCTTTCAGGTAATTCTTGAAGCTTTCTTTTAACAGGTGAATCTGTTAAAATTGCCGTAACTCGTGTGTGTGTGTGTGAATTCTTTTTATTTATATTACTCTCAATGCTGCAAGCATGATGTCTAGCGTCCTCTTAGTCTTCTTTTTTATAATTTCTACCCCTCTGTACCTGAATCAAACGATACGAACTACTGAAAATACCAGTCGCGGTAGGTTGTTACACGTGACAACCATCCCCTTATATTTTGTGACAATTAACTCCGCACAGTACTCGTACTTTTGAAGAAGAGATGAGCTGGAAACACAAATATTGCACTTAATCTCAATCACATACCAATACCAATAACATACAATCTCCTTTCGGTAGCGGCAAGGCGCAAGCGCCTCATGAAACTGATCACCTTTCTACGAGATGGCGGGTATCAGTAGACTGGGGTTGAGGCAGTACCTGTCTACGTAGAATACAACGCACTTTGATATGCGGATTATCACGTAACATCCAGCTTGAAACTGAGTGGCACGAGGTCACTAGTAAGGTCCTCATTCCGGGTCTGCTATGTTCCTCTCAGAGGAGAGACTTCTTCGATAATGACCTTTGGCCGATTTTTTTTCAAGCTGCCTAGTGTTGAAATTTGTGTCATTGAGGCGATATGTTCTTTTCCAGGAAGGAATTAATTTCCCGGTCGTTGCATTTCCTATAATCGAGGTTCAGGTTTACTATAACCAAACTTTCACATCCTTATTTGAAATGAAAGTGAGACGGGACCAGTGGCTTAAGTTTACTGTAACCGAGGGTTCACTATACCCGAGTTCACTACAAACGGAGTCGACTGCATACAAGTATTTGTGCCACTGCTTCAGACCTGGAATCAAGTTCCACCCTTGTGTATAGGGAAGACCAGCCCGAGCTGACCGCACTGACGATCCAAACTGACCACAAATTAATACAAATAAGAAAGGAGAAAGTTTAACATAGCAGTACCATTATCCAAGAAGATCATGTGTTCAATATTAGTGATGAGCTTGTGAACTGTGATAGGGGTAGGAAAAAGTATGTCGTTGAAAATGATAGAAATAATAATGATGAAGGAGGAATTCAAGGGGAAACAATAGTACGTTGGAAACAAATTAGATTTAATAACACAAGATATCATTGAAATTAAAACTAAACAGCAACGTATGGGTAAATTGAAATAAATTGACAGAGAAGTAGTTTTGGAGGAAAAAAATATTATAAAAATACAGAAGACAGAAACAATAAAAAGTGTAAATAATAATAAAAAGGAGTTCCATACAGTAACTTATGCTGAAATAGCTAGAAAAGAAAAAAATAATTGTAAAAAAATCTAAAATAAAAGATAGTAATATAACGGAACAAACTCTCAGGGAGAATGTTAATATTAATAAACTCTCTGTACTAAAATCAAGAAAGGAAATAAGGTAGCAGTGATTCTAGAATATAGTAATG